CCGGCAATATTTTTAACATCTTCTCGGCCATCTGTAAAGAGCTTGTATCGCATAAAAACACTTTTTTTTTTGGCAAATGTCACATTCTTAATTTTATTTTTCCCACCAAATTTAATTATATTCTTTGATCCATTGTTTCGTGTAGAAAGCAAGTACATGAAAACAAGTTTAACGCGTATACAGTATCTGTCAAAAACAAACGAAAAAGGCAAAATTATAATGATAATGTTAACATATTTAGAGTGGGGTACAAACATAAAATTATTAGAAATCGAATGTAAATATGGTCTTTTTTAACAAAAATCAGCTGCAAAATTAAGTTAAATGTGGTCGTTCTATCTTCTGGTTAAGTTTTTAATTACTATAGGAAGTTCACTATGGTACAACACTTTTTGTTTAAAAAGTTAATAATACGAAAACTAAATAAATATATATTATATATATATAATTTGGGAGCCTAGAAATTTATATTATTATTATATATATTTATATTTAATTAAAAAACATTTAGAATGTTAAAGTATGAAAAGCCCAACTTCAATTTTTCAAACTTGTTGAGGATATATTTGCAATTCAAAATACATGATTTTGAGTCTCTTAGAGCTTCTGAATAATTTGGATTTTAATTGGAATTATTAATAGTTGCATTTGTCAGCTTGATTATGAATCTACTGGTAGTATGTATATGAAAGCTGCAATTAAAAATTCTTGTTAAAGATTCGAACCTGTATTTTCGAAGTCATTAACGCCCGAATTTTATGGCTTCGTGGTCTTCATGCGTACCAGCCCTGAGCAATTACCAATTATGGCGATGACGATAGCTCAACTACTTTGTTCTGTGTGCTACGATCCTGTGGTCGCTTACCTACTAACGGCTTAAACGCTTCAGAAAGCCATTTAATTTGTTCTTTGCTTTGTATACGAGTATGTGTTGAACAATGAAATACTTTTTAATTAATGGTATACTATATTACTTGAATGCTGCTACATGTATATTTGTATCTAAATATATAAATTCTCTACCTTGTATTCTTATAAAAGTTTTGGAAAATTAACCAGTTGTGGTTTCTTTTCTTTATTTTTTTCTTTTTCTTATTTCAGCACATAGACGACTACCTGCTCTGTTGGGAGCAATATTATATTGACTGCTAATTGTTGCACTGTCCCGCAGCGCCTGTTGAAAGTACGATTTAAGAATACAAGTACATCCGCACACAATGGCACCAGAAAATGAAATGAACGCGCGCGAAATGAAAACACAATTCAAAAGCGAAAGAAAGTTCGGCGACTACGTTCCGAACCGCTCACCAGCACGTCGAGTTTGCAAATGAAGCAGGGGCCGGCGCAGCTCTTGAATGCTGTGTGGAGCGCACACGCTTATCTACAATTTATGAGCACATCTGTTCGTGTAGGCAAGTATATTTCAAAGCTTCCTGCACTGCTTTACCGACGCGACGCGACGCGACGCCACGAGAAATGTTCTGCGTGGCATGCAAGAACTTTTCACTTCTCCTACACATACATATATGTATATACAAATATGTATTGAACAAAAATAAAATTTACATACGCGAAACAGTAACGATAACAGTTTGCTGTGGTTTAGAGTTACGTTATTGACAATAAGCCTTGTTCAGTAATTCAAAAAGTTTCACCCTTTAAAGGGACATTTCTAGGCTCTGCTCATGAAATGTGCAAAAGTATATTAGGTTTGCGGGAGGTGAGAAATGTAACAGGCAGAAGGACGCGTGGCAGACCCCACAAAGTATATATTCTTGATCAGCATGACAAGACGAGTCGATCTAGGCCTGTCTGTCTGTCCGTATGAACACCTGTATCTCAGAGACTATAAGAGCTAGAGACACCTACATTTGCACATACATGCCTTATGTGTTTACGCTATACGAGTTTGTTCGATTTTGTAATTTTCCCCCATCTTCCCCCCTATCTGGGATTTCTCGATTCTCCAGACATGCATAGATTCACATAGATACAATGCCGATGTTACTGTGCAAATATACATCCCTTACGTGAGTTCGAATAACCAAGGAGGTATAATCGATCAACAAAATTTCTTGTAAATTACAATTTCCTTACTTTGTTTTCAATTATTTTCACTTTGTTGGGGGCTGTACTGTACAGAATTTGTTTCGCTAATAACTTTTCTTAGAATTGACAGAATTGAATAAAATTGGTTTTGGTGCAAAGTTTGGTTTAGGTAGCATTTAAAATGTGGACGCTATTGAAATTCTGTAGCGGGGGAAGGGGGGGAAAATTAAAAAAAAAAATAAACTCCTTTCTCGGACCTAGGAGAATCTGGATGCCAACTTTGGTTATTCTAGCTTTTATAGTTTGCGTTCATCCAGATGGACAGACGGACGGACATGTCTAGATCGATTTCTCTCGTCATGCTGATTCAGAATATGTATACTTTATTTTATAAATTTTAAAAATAATGAACTTAAATATAAAATATTCATGTGTACAAAATCTAAGACATGTTTAGGTACAGTTTGCCGAATGTGAGTACAAAATTCCGAAATTACGGGAGTTATGGAAAAAACACGAATTGCGAGGGAGAGGGGGGTGTATTAGAAAGAAAAAATACAAATTCTTACCAGAAAATACGAGATTCTAGATACCAAATTTAGTTATTCTAGCTCTTATACTGGTCGGGTTAACTCTTCTTTATCATTCTCTCTTGTTATAAATTGTTTATTATGAGATGTGGATAAGCTTCTCGATTTTGAACATCTTTTTGAGCTCACGTAACGAAAAAGATAAACTTTTTCATTGATCACCAGCCATTAACCTTTGCTCTTAGCAACAAGAACATAATCTAATTAAAAACCACCTTCTATTAGTACTGGATCGAAATTGTTTCGCTAAAAACTTTTCTTAGAACTGACCGATTTAGATGGAGTTTGAAACAAAAGTAGATAATTACATATATGTATGTAGACTAGGTGTGCAGTTTGGTTTATGTAGCTTTTGAAATGTGGACAATATTGACGAAATTCTGTTGCGTGGAAAGTGGGGAAATCAAAAAATTAAATAAACTCGAATAGACTAGGGACTAGGAGCGGAATACCAAGTTTGGTTAATGTATGCTCAGCCGTTTCCGAAATCCAGGCGTTCTTCCAGACAGAGCCACCTAAGATAATCCTCAAACACGTAAAAAAGCTAAAGTCGGTTTTCCCGACTTTGAAATACTCTGTACATATGTTTAGAACATTTATAGAAATTAAAACAAGAAGGGAATGCCAAAGTCGAGCAGGCTCAACTCTTAAATACCCTGTACCACCCACAAAAAAAAATTAATTTAATTTAATTAATTAATTAATTTAAAAAACTCGTCCTTTCTCGGGCTCAGGAGAATCTGTCTACCAATTTTGGTTATTCTAACTTTCTGAGATCCTTGCGTTCATACCGACGGACGGACGGACAGACGGACATGGCTATATCGACTCGGCTTGTCATCCTGATCAAGAATATATATACTTTGTGGGGTCTGCCACGCCTCCTTCTGTGTGTTCCATGTACACTTGCACAAAACTAATATACCCTTTTACCCTTTGGGTACAGGGTATAAAAATATATATACATATATAGAATTAAAATATGCATCATGGAAATGTCAATATTGAAAAGAGTTAAAAAAAACCAGTAGCATAGACAAAAAATATTTTAAAATTATAAAAAAAAAAACCTTTGGAATGAATCAAACTCACGTCTCCACATCATCACTTGTGATTTTATGTTGTCAATTTTTAAATTTAATATTTTAATATTAAATTTAAGTGTGCACACTTCATATTTACTAAAACACACGATGGTGCAAAATCGATGGTAAAAATATTTAAATCTAATCTGAGATCCAGGTGTTCATACGGACAGACAGACAGGACTAGATCGACTCGTCTTGTGATGTTGATGAAGTATATATATAATTTGTGGGGTCTGCCACGCCTCTTTCTCCTTCCTTTACATTTTTCAGCTCGCGCAAACCTTATATACTCTTGTACATTTCAATTAGAAAAGTACGACATTTTTATCATGTGAGTACTATATATACTATATATATACTTGTCTTGTCCATACGTAGAGCATTTTAATTAGAAACCATATATAGCCACATTACTTTTTATAGCTAGCTGGCATCGGATGCGAACAGTGGAAAATCATTATTAATATGATCAAGTTTTTGTAAATGAAACAGATCTGGGATTTATGAGTTTCGAAATGCCTCATGATATATTCCGAAGTTATATCGAAACTATATCATATATCATTAAACTGCATCATATAGCTGCTATCGAACAATGCAGAGGTTAGCTTAGAAACATATTTGTGACTCTTTAATAATGCCCCACTATAATCATTCATGCATAGCTCGGAAAAAATATGCTTCCGATGTGCACGTACTTATGTATAATGCAGATAAAGTCGAGCATTCTCCAATGAAAGCTGCAGTAATCATAATACATACTATTATGAAAGGTAAGCAAAGTTAGCGTATTATTTGCCGGAGAGCTTATACTTTGAAAGATCTTGATTATTTTGATTGCAGTTAAAAAAATTATATTCTGTAACGCAGAATTGGTTCGTTATATTTGGGAAGTCATCTACTAATTTAAAGTATATTGGAAGTGATACAACAGAGATCGCTATATATGGCCCATAGTCCTTGGCCGATAGTTCATACCTCACCTGCGCTCTCCAGCCATGTGTTGATGCTTATATCTAGATCATTAAGATGTTATAGTTGACTTATAGACAATCTGGTTGCCACCAGCGGGTGCGGGTTCGGCGTTTCAAGTAAAAAACACGTAGCTTTTAGGTAAAAGTATTGCGTGTCGATAAGGTGGAATCGGTGTTGGCTATATGAATGCATTGCGCCAAGTAATTGGCGTTGGTATTACCTTTTGCTATACGTCTATCATAAAAAGCCGCAGCACAGTGGTCAGACACATCAGTGCAGAAGAACGCTTAACTCAATCATGATTCCACTTCGGCATTGCTTTCTCTTCGGTGTGGCGCTATACGCGACTACGGTATTTGGCTACACTGGGAGCAATCAGTACGGAAAGGATGCACAGTTAAACCTCCTATATCAGTTCATGAACGGCAAGAGCGGCGGCAGCTGCCCAGAGGGAAGTTTGCCAGTGTGTGCCACGGACGGTCTTCAATATCACATCTTTGCAAATAAATGTGAAATGGATAGTCAAAATATGAAATCGATCCTGCTCAACCGGCCAGGACTTATACTCGCAGACATGCCGTACTGTGCATTTGCTCTAAAAGGATCTCCCAACTATCCAGCTCAATTTTATCCAGCTGCCCAGCCTTCGTATGGTAACTTCGTACCTGCAGCATTCGCCTATTCTGCTATAAGGGGCATGAAACCCTCTGCATATGCAGAAGGGCCGTTTCAATCGCCACACCTAGCTTACCATCCGGGATCACCCTACTTTTCTGGCGTTGAACTGGAGCCAGCCACACCTCCGTCTACAGCATCAACGACAACAGAGCCAACATACACAACGGCTGCCCAAAATCAGAATTACCATAGTCAATGCCTGGATCCTACTACACCCAGTGTCCTAAATCGAAATTATGGAACCGGAACCACCACCTCGTATTCCACATATCCAACTGAGTATTCCACAACACCAAGCACGACTCCAAGCACGACTTCAAGCACAACTCCTAGCACGACTTCAAGCACAACATCAAGCACAACTCCAAGCACGACTTCAACCACAACTCCAACAACCACAACTCCTGCAGCAAGTCAGCTTAATCGACTTAGCGCATTGACAAGTGCACCCCTTGCACTACTAAATCAGAGTGTTGACACCGGTACCGCACTCACAGAGACTACCACCTCATATCCCACATATTCAAATGGGTATTCCACGGCATCAACCACAGCTCCAACCACGACTTCAACCACGACTTCAACCACTACGTCAACCACAACTCCATCAACCACAACGCCTGCAGCACTTCAGCTTAATCGACTTAGCGTACTGTCAAATACACCCAGTGTCCTTCTGAATCAGCTTGACGTCGTCGAAACCGCAACCACAGACCCCACCACCTCGTCTTCCACACAGTCAACTGAGTCTCCCACAACTTCAAGCACGACAGAAGCTTCCGATCCGGTAATAAACAATTTTAAGCTAACAGCCAGATCTTTCCTAGCTCAACACTTATACTTGTCCTTCTTTTCAGGTCGCTGAATGGAAGCTTCTCATCAATTTCGATAGCTCTCCTGGCACGGGCTTTGTCTCTCAAAAGGCGCCCTGTAAAAATTTAAAGATTGGCATAGCCATTGGCTCATATAAAAACTTAGGGCAGACATGTTTAACATCCTAACTGCCTCGATTCTTTTATCGTAATTTAACAAATATTCTAGTAAGCATTTTATATTATAGTTTAGTGTTATTGTAATCACATACTATTTATGTTATATTGAGATTAACGAGCTTATAATAATTGATGTTTCTGAAAGTTGTAGATTTATCTTTCGCAATGACGAAGCTATGAAATACATATACTCGTAGTGTACGAGTATGTACACAAATTGTAAAAATACGGACATTGTTAGATTAACATAAGGTGCACAATTCCCGACTTATCTTTTGATTCGCACTTTGCAGTATGTTATATATTGTTCTATCAATGATTCCATTAGAAAAAATGAATTTTATATTTTCGTTCGTTAGTATAATCAGTCTAACCTGTCCTCTAACCTGTTCTTATGCTACTGTTTTTTTGCGAGTTGAGACTTGATCATAAAATCTGGACTCTCAAGGCTCACGCAGCGTTTTTTCCCCATTTTCTTGCACTCTATTTACAATTTCGTAGTATTGGATTTCCTGGTACTATGGCCGCGGAAGTCCGTTTTCCGATTCGTCTAGTCTACTATTTTGCGAACTAATTTTTTACCATTCCTGGTAGGCAATTTCAATATTCTTATTCATAGAATATTGTCTTCAAATATTTGCCCGAAATGTGAAACATAACTATACATATTTGTAACTTTTCCCATGAAACGAAATAAACCAGTACCTATTCAAATATTTTCCTATTACGATACCATCATATTGAAATATTGTTTTAATCTTGAACGAATTACAAAATATATATGTAAATCATTTCCAATACTCTAAGCTTATGAGTAGCATTTTGCATTTATATAAATAATGAAAAAAGTACAAACATAATAATAATTATTTTCTGGATATTTTGACTGCACCGTAGAACCCTTTTCTTATCATTTATTTTGCTCGTAACATTCGAAGTGTTAAATGCGTAATTTTAAATAGATGGATGAACGTATTGAGCCTTGCTATGAAACTTTGGAGTTAAAAAAGTAGGAGATGACCTGGTACCTGGCACTAAAACTATGTATAGTCAAGTAAAAAATAAATAAACTTATGCAATGACTTCTTTGGTTCTACAAGTACAAATAATATTATTATATCCTGTACCCAAAGGTAAAAGAGCATATTAGTGTAAATGTGTGTAGAAGCAATTGTGTCAAAACCACAAAGTAGACGAATTTGAAATCTCCATCAGAGTGAAAAGAATCACCAAACCTAGCAATTACATCACATTAGTGATCAGATGTCCTCATTTCATGTTTCATCGCGATAGGACATATCAAATGGAAACTTTAGCCGTATAATGTAATCTTTGCCAGAAATTTATATTTTTATGGTTCAGGTCCGTACCGAATAAAGCACACACACATACACGCTTTGAATATGTGTAAATGAAGTGTATATATATAATTGTAATATCTATTACTTTCTATATGTATACTATGTATATAAAATGTAATATAGAAAAATGTTTCATTTAGGTGCAGGGTATATAGAAGTTAGGCGCGCGCCTTCTACTCATTGTAGAATTGATGTATTGTTGCTATTAATTTGAAATTATTTCATTTTATATTTTTGTAATACCTCTAATATGCTGCAAATTAAAAAAATTTGCAGAATCTGTGTTGACCATATCCAATTAAGATGTATGTATTATAAAGAGGGTATTTCATTTTATTTATTCAAAAACAGTTGGCTCATAAATTTGTGTATTTTTATTATTAGTTAACCATGAAGAGTTCAGGTTATAAGACCTTATCTACTTAATTAGCTATAGAGTGTGTTTTAACAGTTAAGGACTGAACGAACAGTTTCTATGATTATGAAATCTACTTTATTGCAAAAATGTTGTATCTCTTACACAACAAAGAAAATGTAGTCAAAAACGGCGAAAAAAGTAATTTTATATATATAAAATATATTTTAATATTTTTCCGGTCGGAAAAGTCGGTAAAATAAATTATAGGCATAGTTATTGCCATATTTATTATTATTCTTCCATTGTTTATCACATGTTGGCGTTTATGGCTGCATAGAGATGTGTAAGAGCAGATTGTAAGAAATTTGGTAGCTTCGTTACAGGATATACGAGCCCTAACCACTATTAATTGGTACGGCATGGTTTTTTCGATAGTGCAACTTTCAATAACCTATGTTTATTTGTAAGTAATGATTAACTTTAATTTAATATCAAAACATACACAGCTTTCTTATCAAAAAAATTAAAAAACTCAATTTAAATAAGACAACTTTCCTAATACACAAAATATTTTGACCATTATTAGATATGTTGATGCAAAATGGTTTATGTTTGTTAATTTGGCAACGCTCTGCTAACAGAGCCAAAAGCTGTTAATAACAGCGGATAATAGTACTAAGCTAAGAATAAGAAAAGATGAAATGAGCAGAATTAGACTAAGGTAACTGAAACTGTAACTTAATTGAAAAATATACAAGTACGTGAAATGAAGCAGGCGAACTACAAGAACCTAACCCTAAAATGCAAGTGTTTTTTCTTGGCGGCTATTTTTGTGAGAAGAGCAAAGGGAAAACCAACGACGCGACGCCCCACTACAAGTTTCATAATGTTATACAGGATATAAATGAGTCGGAGGCTAACACCTTAAGCCAATTTATTTTACATACATATGTATGTATGGGTATATATGTATGTATGTAGTTGTTCACAGATAAATATATATGAGCATTATAGTTTAAGTAATGATAGTAGGTTGAAATTCTTCAATTCAGTATTCTGCGAATTACTTGTAGTTCATTCAATAGCAAGACCGTGGGTCGGGTTGGCCCGCACCTTCGAAACGTCGGCGTCACATCGCACCCGAATCAGTGCACAAGTGTGAGCTCAATTCATTCAAACTTTGGGTTCTCTTGTTCTTGTTGTTTTTGTTCGTTTTTTGCACAATTCGCGCAAAAAGCAGCTAAAGCGTCAGAATGCACGTAGTTGGCTGATAAAGCCGCATGCTCAACAACAATGAGCCAAACAGACACAACACACAACAGACAACACACAAGAAGCAACACACAATGAGCAACGCACAACAGAAAGAAGAAAACAAACGGTGTAAAGTGGCGAATGACAAGTAAACAAAATTGAAAAAAGTGTGCTAGACAAGGCGGCTGCCGCCGAGCGGGCGCTGCGTTTCACACCACAAACACGTAGTGCTGAAAAAATGCCTGCCGATAAGGGAAATGCAGCAAATATTATATTAACGCACAGCTCCCAGTTGGTGTCCAATATGCAACTGCTACGTCATAGGTATCGGTGTCGGTGTCGGTGTCGGAGTCGGCGTCAGCGTCGGCGTCAGCGTCCGCATATTCTTCTTATGCTACTAAGATTTCTCATATAAAGCGGGGCCATGGTAGGAGAAGACATCAGTTCCATAGCTCTGTCTCGCCATGTCTGTACTAAGCGCCTGCATTATCGTAAGCCTCCTGCTGAGCTCTGTCTGTGGCTACGACTACATCGGCTACGGCCAGTATGATCCTCAGGATGTACAGGTGGAAGTCGACTATGACTTTATGAGCGGTTACGGCGACCCCACTTGTTCCTACGGTGGTTCGCCGGTGTGTGCAACAGACGGCTATAAGTACCAGTACTTTCCAAATAAGTGTAGCCTGAACTCCTACAACGTAAATCAATTGTTTGCTGGTCGACCCCGTAAGTTCACACACACTAAGGTCAACTAATTTGTTACCAAATATTTGTCCTAACCAGAGCTCACAGCGACGGACTTGACTTACTGCAATTCGCAGCAAGTCGCTCGTGCCAGTTCATCGCCAGGAGCTTACGCTTATGCAGAGGCACGAGGCACTCAGAGCGCTAAGGCAGTAGTTGGTTTGTCCCAGCCCTCATATTCCAAGTATCCTGCACCACCTGCGGCTCCAGCACCAATCTACTCGCCATACCCTGTGCCGAGTGCGCCTGCTTATACCTCGTACGGCGTTCCAAGTGCTTACCCAGCCCCTGCACCCGCACCTGCACCTGCACCAGCACCCGCTCCTGCGCCAGTTCCGTATCCCATCTATCCGACCATGATGCCTTACCCAACGACGGAGCCAACTACCACCCCAACCACTACTCCTACGACTACTCCCACTACTACTCCTACGACTACTCCTACGACTACTCCAACTACTACTCCTACGACTACTCCTACGACTACTCCCACTACTACTCCTACGACTACTCCTACGACTACTCCTACGACTACTCCCACTACTACTCCTACGACTACTCCTACGACTACTCCTACGACTACTCCTACAACTACTCCTACGACTACTCCTACGACTACTCCCACTACTACTCCTACGACTACTCCTACGACTACTCCTACAACTACTCCTACAACTACTCCTACGACTACTCCTACAACTACAACAACCACCACCACGACAACCACAGTGGCACCGCCCACAGGGGTAAGTGTTATTTTCCAATAAGTCTCATAACTACTTCCAACACCGTTTCTCGGCTTTTACGTTTTTAGCCTGGTAGCCTGGATATCACCCTGCCCGGCGGTATTACTATATCCCTTCAATGGTCGCTAGGTGGCACAAGCACTTGCACTGCTCCACTGGTATCAGCCAATGTGAATGTTCAACTGAATGGTTTGTCGATATTACCCCTTAGCGCCTGTATATCGCTTTGATAAAAATGTGGGCTCTGTTGACACCGCGGGACCAACTCACGGCGTTTGAAAAAACGACTAAGACATCATCTCATCTCATCTTGAATTCTCAATTTAACCTACTAACGTCAAAGTGTTTCCTTTTGTTCAATTAAAAATAATAAAGCAATAGACTATATCCTAAAATATGAATACCTAACGACTTTTCCTCTGATATTATCATTCCCAAGAATCCAATGCAATAAGATCTGCTGTCGTTAATCCGCCCATAAAAATTCATATTTCCGCCATTGTTGTTGCTGCTACAGGCGTCTAATTGAAAACAAGAGTGGAATGAATGCTAAAGTTTCCAGGCCCAACTCTTAAATACCCTTAAATACTCACACAAAAATGTGTATTCAAATTTAAGGAAGGAATTTACAAGGTGGATTCGAAAGTAAACATGACTTTTTGAATCTAGCGCCCCCTGGTGGCGCTATCTATATGTCGACTGGTGAGTTAGAATCTGCTATCTTTATCGATTGTCCAGTGAGAATTTCATGATATTTCATCGATTGGAAGTGAAGTTATTGCGTTTTAAGTGTCAGTATGTTTGTGTTATCGGTGCGAGAATGAGCTTCGAACAAAGAGCCAACATTAAATTTTGTTTTAAAATTGGTAAAACTTTTACCGAAATGGATGAAACAAGTTTATGGTGATGATTGCCTATCCCGTAGCAGAGTGCACGAGTGGTTTCAACGTTTTCAAAGTGGTCGTGAGGACATAAATGACGATCAACATGTCGTGATCACCGAAAATTCCATCGAAACTGTGCGTGAATTCATCAAAAATCAGCCGAAATCATCATTGAAATTGATGGAAATGGAATTGAACATCTCGAAAACATCGATTTATCGCATTTTGATCGAACATTTGGGCTTACAAATTGACTGTCGACCAAAAATTGCTCAGAATCGATCGACGCTTGTGACCGATTATTTGACCAAAAATCACATTTTAACCATTAACCACTCGCCGTATTCATCTGATATGGCACCGTGCGACTTCTACTTTTTCGGAAAATGCATTTGCCCATGAAAGGAAAGCGTTATGCAGACGTAGAGGCCATTCAAAAGGCCATACCGGCCAACGAGCTAAAACACTCGTTCGACATGCTTTTGGATCGTGCAAAAAGCTGTATTGAAGCAGAAGGAGACTATTTTGAATAAAATAAATTGATTTTGCCGAAGAACCATTTGTTCTGGTTTTTTTTTAAGTCCTGTTTACTTTGGAACACTCCTTGTATTTAATTAAATGATGACACATGCATTCATTTTATGCTTTAAGAAATAAACACAAACTCGTCCTTTATTACACTTAGGAGAATGAGGAAGCCAGGTTTGGTTATTGTAGCTCTTATACTTTCTGAGATCATTACGGTCATGCAGACAGACGGACCTGGCTTTATCGACTCGGTATACTTGTCTGTGTATAACATACATTTGCCGTAAACCAGTATACCCTTTGAAGGCAGAGTATAACAAACACAAACGAGCATCAGACCCCTGCATGAGTGAGTTTTAAAAATCAAATCAAAAATCGCTTTTGATATTATTTTTGAGGAAGGAAGGCTCTACTAAGTACTTTAATGACATTACCTACTACTTATAGTAAAGTACAGTAAAGTTTGAATATAAAACATATGTACAAGTAGATATAAAAATCACGCTAGGCGGTTTCCCAGGGTAGATACTGTCTTAGCGAAGATTTGTTTTACCGACTTTGGACTTTTTAGATAAACAATTAGCCGCTGGTATACTTGCTTTCTGAATTTGAATAAACTGAAAGGGTAATTTTATAGGAATATAATTGTAGCTTTAATAATTGCATTAAATTTGTAAAAACCTTGAGCAATTCTGCACTATTCATAAATAACGAATTTCGTCTAAGGACATTAACTGAAAATCTTTTAAATCTATAATCTTAATAATGAAAATATATTAATAAGGCGTCAAATCAGTTATCATTTGTTTTAATCAATGGGTTAGTGCCAAAGAGCAGATTTTTGTTTTAATAAGCTGAATTAATTTAATTTAGATAATTCAATTCAAAAGATTTTTATTATTTATTTTTTTGAGGATTAGGTTACAGTGTATTTCTTCAACATACGAAATTATGCCACCGCTTCTTCGCTTGAAAGCAGCCATCTAAAATATTCGTATTCCCAGAATTCTAGGTTTGTAATTCTTCGTTTGCCGAGGGCCCATGAATTTCGTGAAGTATTTCTGCGCTAATGAGCTCCATTAATCGGCTTCCTGTTCAACATTCGCTTGTCGATATTAACCGTTTGATTTCCTACAAATATCTCGTATCTTGGGCTTAATATCATTGGATTGACAAAGCATTTAATATCATCATTTTCTATTCTTTTGTCAACTGCACAATTTATGTGACGAGATAAACGGCCTATAAATCAAGAAGTTTGTGCAATGGGGTGTCCTTGAAGGCGGCCCTAACCATTTACCAGTTTGGGCTTCTCTTATACTTGTACCTATAAACACTGACATGCTGTCCGTTGATTTCGTGCTATAATCGAAGTGTGTTCCCCATGCGGATCTCTAATACACACACACACACACACACACAGAGGAGGGGGGAGTGCAGGCAGGTATGTGGTTGTATGTGGCTTTGTTTGACATACTTTTTTTTGGTTTTTGTTCTTTTTCCAACACTTCCGTTGGCTTAGCTAAACAAATTCATAAATTTGCCGTTAAAGGCATTGTGCGTGCTTATCTGCCGCTTAGCTTCACTGACAATAAAATGGCATTAAAAGCTTAAAAAATACAATGGCGGCCATTGTTAATTGAACTGGGGACGGGCCTGGACTGCTGGGTTGAGCTGGGCCTGGACTTTTTGACAGGAAATTACCAAAGGGCCGTGTGCAAAATCTGCTCCGCCAACGGCACTCTTCGCTTTATGGACAATGAGGGACAGCACTTCGCACAATTTGCCAAAAGACAAATTTTCATTTACATTTAAATTGTTTCACTTTGTGCGGATCTTTGTCTGGGGGCAAAGCAATTTTCTTCTACAAGTATTTGTTGTTTGTCTATTTCATCCAGCTCGCTGGCATACATGAAGATACAAATTTCTTTATACTACTATATACTCGTATGCATCCACATGTCTCGCATTTATGCAAAGCGATGCTTACCTATGGAGGTGTGTGAAATACGAGCACGAGTATGTGTGCTAACCGTGCCGTACAGAACAGTACTCCAACTAATTATAATGCGGGTCAGGTGGAACGATGGAACGTCGGCTAGAGGTGGCAAGGAGCAACATAAATATTGCTGCCGCCGGGAAAAATTGCAAATCTGCAGCAGAACGAAAATACTCTTATGTCAACAAATAACACAGACACACATATACAGATACAGAAACATACAAGTACTTGTACATACATTATTGCGATTCGACTTTCCTATTCCAACGTTTTCGATAATTCAACAGATGGCTTGGCTCTGACATTATTTGATTCGAATTCATTTGTATTCCCTCACTCGTGAGCAGCAGAGACGTTTATTAATTGCCTTTCCCCGAACTTTTAATGCAAGCCGTGTTTAGAATTGAATCTACAAAAGAACGCATCTGCCTACAGATTCATAAGTAAATACACATTTGTGTAGCATACGAGTACACACTGGGATGGGCAGCCACAATAATTGTGTGTTGAAGTATTTTTCCATTTTTCCATTTTTCGACAAGAATTTTCATAATGTCGAAACTTGAAAAGTCAACTTTTATTGAAGTTGTTCTATAGCCACTAAAGCCAATTTACATTAGCGGGAAGCTGAAAGATAAATCAAAGTTGTTACCCGAAGCGAGAGCCAGCTAACCACTTTTTATGATTGTTATTAATTTTGCATGAAGGAAATCAACGACCAAATACCAAAGATTGACAATATTTCTGCTGACTTAGCCTCAGAAAGGCACTAACAACGCTTGGCCAACAACAATTTGAGCTTGACAGGCGGATTTGCCAATGCTGAGCTGTGTTGAAAGCCGCTGCCCACCGCTATGCAAATATTTTATTATACTTGTAAAATGCCTGCCAAACCTACCGCCGGCTGGGCATAAATCAGTGGCCGTGCATATGAGAGGCGAGACATAGCACGATAAACATTCATTTTGTTCTTGTTCCCGTCGTTCTTTTGCTGACTTTTCATTCTCATTTTCCCTTCCATTATTTATGACTTTTAAATTGGCTTATGCCTTATTTTTCTAATTCCCACGTTGCGCATACGCCGCGTTGGCCGCCTCCTTGTTTGTTTACAGCTAACGCGCTAAATCAATCGCACCAATTGGACAGACGGACGACTGACAGACAGACAGACAGACAAACAGACAAACTGGCAAACAAACATGGCCAAGGTAATTGTATTTGCTATTTTTATGAGCTTTAATGATTCTTCATGATTGTCCGAACTTGGCGGAAGAACAAGCACAACCTGTTTTTATGTTTGTTCTTGAAACTAAACAATTGCGCCAATTAGTAACAGATCTAAACGTTTTCCGACGAGTATTTGTTTATGTCGGAAATAAAATGATTTAGCCAAACAGTTTTGTTTATTGAGAACATTAAGCAGACTTGTATTTGAAGAAAAGGCATTACTAATATAAAGCTGTTTATTGTTGTTTTCCTTAGTTTATTAAATATAAGGTGATGAAATCGGTGAGCATGTTACCCGTGGCTTTGAGGAACACATTATTATTTCTTTTGAATTATTTAGTTCTACAGGCTCGTTGTACTATAACTATTTATAAAATTTGTTATTTTAAAACACAGAAGGAGCCATGGAATAAAATCTATACATATGTAATCTTATGCATTTTTGATTAGCATTAGCACTATCTCTATGAACACAAGGATCTGAGAAATTATGAAATAAATACAAAATATTTATAATATTAAATTCAAATATTTACAAAACCACGTTCAGGGTATATACAAGTCGGACAATAGCCTAACGGAGAGAGTTGTTTATCGCCCCTGGTGCAGATGCTTAAACCAAAAAAAAAATAGCAAAGAAATTTCGCAAAATACGGCGAACTGCCGGCAAGCTGAAGAGCAGATGAGCCCGCTGATCTATCCTGCAGCCCAAAAATTGCTGACGTCAAATATGTGGGCATAACTGTACGCGGCTGACAAC